TGCAGTGAGCCATAAATAATATTGCTATTCACGGTGATTGTAAATCTTGAGTTAACTTGTAAACTTATGAAGAAAACAGCAGTTGAATGTTTCTACATAGATCAGTGTTTTCTCTACAGGCCAAGCACTGCAGATCTCCAGTCAACTTTTTTAACAGCAGAACCGGAGGGAGGTGAGGAATTTTATTCAGGATAAAATTACTTTTCTGATGTTTAATTTATTTGTGAAAATTACGTCTGTTTTGCAAAAATAGGTCATTATCAATTTTAAACTAATAATTAAGGATCATTTAGTTTTTACTTGTGCATAAAGTGGCTGTGTTGTAGTACACTTACCATGATTGTGGATTGAGAACTGTTACGTATAAAGTGATTATGACGCAAGTAATATACATAGAAAGTGATTATAACCCAATTATTTTACACAGAAAGTGATTCTTGCTTGAGAATTGGTTAACATAAAGTAATTGTGGCCTTTTGTGCAGACATATAGGAAACTCAATATTTAAAGTATGAATATCTTGCGCATGAAACATTTTGTTATTTCTCTGAGATTTTTATTTCAGGTCAACAATTGGAAAAACTCAACAAGGACAAGTCACTTCTAAACCTGTCCCTAAACCTGCAGGTCGGTTATCAATATTTGCCTGCTCTGGTCCTCCACTGGGTTTTGGGAAAAGGGAATAATATTTTTAAAGACAGTGTCACCAGAAGTTTTGAGTAAATTTTAAGTTTTATATTCCTCTAATGAATTATTTATTCAAATATAATATTATTGAGCACTTCAAATATTTTTATTTTTTAAATAGAATATTTTCTGTAAAATCTTTTTTTTTTATATTGATATCTCAAATAAACGTTTTATTTTCCATTTTGCTGAAATAGAACTGACAGATTATGACAACTATAATCATAACATAACTGGCTCTACTAATGCCAAATTTCTAAAAACAATCTGCGACAGGCAACGGTAAACAAACTTTCAGCAAGGAGACCGAGGAAAAGTTTGATCAAGTGCTGGAAGGCAATTTTGCCGACTTGCCTCCCTTGCCCAAATCCACCGTCCGAATCTTCCTGAGCTCCACATTTTCTGACATGAGGGCAGAGAGGAATGCCTTGGCAAGGGAAGCCTACCCCAAGCTGAGAGACTACTGCACTGAATTGGGCTTGGGCTTTCAAGTAAGTGTCAGCCACTGGAGCATCAGGATATATTTACATATGTATATATAGATAGATAGAAATATCATGTTTCAAGAAATAAAAATTTAAACAGAAGTGCTCCCCAAGACATACCTGGTTGGGTTGCTCAAGTACCGCAACAAGTGGTTAGATACAAACCTAGGTTTCCAGTCACGTTAAAGATTATTAAATTACAACATATACGTCTTGATCTACAAGTATACAGCATTAAGAAAAATGTACAAATCAAAATTTCAAGGGTTTAACTTTTTTTATATGTAAAAATCTGCTATGACATGTCATCTCTAAGACTATAGATCTTAGGTGGGGAGTGACAGATCAGATATGACATATGTCATCTCAAAGACTCCAGGTTGTAGATCTTAGGTGGGGTATGACAGATCTTATATGACATGTCATCTCTATGACTCCAGGTTGTAGATCTTAGGTGGGGTGTGACAGCTGAGGCCACCAACAGCCACATGACAACCAACATCTGTCTTCTTGAACTAGAGAATTGCCAGAAAGTCTCCGTTGGACCAAATTGTATTGTAAGTGACATTACTGCCTCATTCTTTTTTTTCCTTTCCTTTTTCAATTGCTATGGAGAATAAGACATGCGAAATAGAAGTATGAAAAATCACTTCTTTTTTTATTGTGGATCAGAATGCTGTGAAGTAAAACATGTTAGATGTTTGTGACAGTGTTCATTATAGTTTTTTTTAAAACTATATTTCAGGCCATCATCGGCAACAGGTATGGTTTTTGTCCACTCCCATTTGAAATTTCCATCAAGGAATTTGAAATATTTAAAGAGGAAGTCTCAGACCTGCCTGGTTTTTCGGTCCTGGAGAAATGGTACAAGAAAGATGAGAACTCGATCCCACCTGCATATTTCTTGCAGGTAAATTTACCTGGATTGATGGATTGATTATACAACTTCTTGTGCAGTAGAGTTAAATTGTTCTTTAATTCAATGATTTTCAGAACTTGTTTCCAGTATCATGGACAATGTTGATGAGCCGGGCACCTCAGCCTAATGAAAAGTCAATTTGTGAAGACTTATCAAAGAGTCAATCTTGATAAAACTGCTCCTGTTATTGATAATTCTAAGAGGACTATTAAGCCCCTGGAGCTGTGTAACCTCCTCAAGTGTGCGTGGAACCAATCGATATCAAATTTTTATCTGTTAAGTTTTATAATTAAGCTCTGTGGCTTTTGTACTGCACTCCATTATCTTCAATTCATTACTAATGGCAGGATAGGAGAAATTTTAAATGTAAGAAATAATGTGGCCTTCTAATAGAATAAAAAGTAGTAAGATCAGGTCCACTTCATGTGAAATAGAAAAGTTTAGTTGGAAGCCAAGCTGTTGCATTACTAGGGCAAGTTTGTGTGGTTGCGGGTACATTAAGACAGTAGTAAAAGACTACACCCCCAATAAAGCAGGATAAAGTTAGCCAGTTGATTACATGTCCCTTTAGTAAGGCAAGTTGCCGGGGATAAGCTGGAGAGCGTTTGGTGAGGAGGGCAGGTGGAGAGGGTAGGTGGAGAGCGTAGATTTGAACTGGTGGTTGAAAGTAGAGAGAGGGCAGGTGGCCTTTATCAAAGTTGGTGAATTTGGGTGTGCTGGGGGAGGGTGGGGTGGGGCTTAGAGGGTAGGTAAGAAGGGGAGAGGATAGGAGTCAGGGAGTGTGAGAGATTTGGAGTGAGGGAGAAATATCTGGTTGGGTGAGTGGGAAGGTAGTGGAGATTGAGAAAAAACTCAAAAATACTGCCCAAGTCATAAATTACTTTAATACTGACAGATAACAAAGATAGCTATAGGTTACAAGCAGGACCTATTAGATGTGGATTTGTGTCCAAATAACTAGCGCTTGGTATAACTGTAGAAGAGGGAAAAAAAAATTTTAACTTCTGCTGGCCTTACAACTTTTGCGTGTTTAAGACTGCTCTATCTTTGCATTTCTAAAAATTTTGCCCGTAAATTTTTCCTCATCAACAGCCCATTACATCCCAACTGCCACATTTTCTGGAGAACTCTCCTGAGAGGGAGGCACTTAAGAAGCAACATACAGAGGAGTGGGCAAGGCTGGAGGAACAAATGCTGACCACTATCCACAGAGCTGCCATATCAGCATTTGACAAAAACAAACTTTCCCCAGAAAGGAAGCAGTTTTTCCTGATGTCAGGTGAGTGCTATTGAACATTTAAAAAAATAAGTTTTCTCTTTTAAATTACTTGAATCTTCCAAAGTAGTTTGCAATGAAAAGTCTTTATTCATGATATTATTAAACTCATGGTTACAAGCTTCCACCTCAGCCCCCTTATTTAATTAACCAGTATAACTGAAAAAAGGGAAGTAACTTCAATTCTCACCAGAACTTAAGTTTAACCTTGTTTTTTTTTAGAGCACCTAAATATCTACAGGTTGTGTCAGAATGAAGACAGATAAATATCTACAGGTTGTGTCAGAATGAAGACAGATAAATATCTACAGGTTGTGTCAGAATGAAGACAGATAAATATCTACAGGTTGTGTCAGAATGAAGACAGATAAATATCTACAGGTTGTGTCAGAATGAAGACAGATAAATATCTACAGGTTGTGTCAGAATGAAGACAGATAAATATCTACAGGTTGTGTCAGAATGAAGACAGGTAAATATCTACAGGTTGTGTCAGAATGAAGACAGATAAATATCTACAGGTTGTGTCAGAATGAAGACAGATAAATATCTACAGGTTGTGTCAGAATGAAGACAGATAAATATCTACAGGTTGCGTCAGAATGAAGACAGATAAATATCTACAGGTTGCGTCAGAATGAAGACAGATAAATATCTACAGGTTGTGTCAGAATGAAGACAGATAAATATCTACAGGTTGTGTCAGAATGAAGACAGATAAATATCTACAGGTTGTGTCAGAATGAAGACAGATAAATATCTACAGGTTCTGTCAGAATGAAGACAGAGTCATCCAGAAATTGATGGATATGAAGAGAAAAAAATTATCATTAATAGTCCAGAAAATAGCACTAATAACAGTTATTGCCACACAAAGAAATGTTCTGCTGGTCTATGACCAGTCAGATATCAATGGATCAATATTAACCAAAAAAACTACTGATTAAAAGAAACTAAGCCAAAACAAAGATATGTGTTTTTCTTAATTGAAAAAGTGTGATTTCAGCTTTGCTGAGAAAAAAAAAGCAATGAGAAACGTGTGTCTGGATGCGTCAGACTGGAATGGGGTAATGCTATTGTCTAATCACTCTGTATGTATGGACTATGCAGTTATTTTTATTGTTATTTACCATTATTTTATTTCCCTTAGTTACTGAGCATGAAACCAGAGGGGGGATAATTGATGCTGAAGATCCCAACAAACATGGGTTAGTGTTCATCAGAGAACTGGAAGGTCTTGGACCTGCGACCTACAATGACACCAATGCTGGTAGATACAAGGACCTCATCACAAGACATGGACAGGTGATTTCCTGTTCTCTTCTACAATATATTCAATCATTTCCTTTCTTAGAATACATTTACATGCCCAACACATGTATTTTTTAGTTGCATTGAAGTTGTATTTATTATTGTTAAAAACATACATACAACAAAATAAATCTGCAACTTCAGCAAATTAATGTCCGGCATTTGATAGCTGAACAATTTCATCATTTAAAAAAAAATTACACTTTCAATTATATTTGTGATGTATGAATGCAATCTTGTTGTGCAAACTTAACTTTTTAGACTAATGTCCCTTCAGGCTTAGCTTTATTTGTTTGCCAGATGCTGATGCATAGTTCACTTTTTTTTTCAGGTGGAGGCAGACGTACACGTTGAGTCGCTCATCACATCCTTGAAAGAAGATTGTAAAACTTGTGTGTGTCCAGCCAATGTCCAGTCCTACTCTGTCCAGTGGCGGGATGGCGGCATCCAGCCCGATTCTCACACTGAACACAGGGAATACCTGACTCGGTTCTGTTCTGACTTTGTCACTGGGGTAAAGTCGCTCATAGACATGGACGCCCTGACAAGAGACTCTTTGATACGGCAGAGAGAATACTACTCCCTGTACACTGAAATTCTCCACCACTCCCATTTTTGTAAGCTCAAATCTGAAGCATTCTGTGGCCAGCAGGAGACACTGGAGCACATCAAAGATTACATCCTGGATCCAACAAACCGCAAACCTTTTGTGATTCATGCTCAGTCGGGAGCCGGAAAGACATCAGTGTTGGCCATGGCCATGAACAGCCTCAAGCTATGGATCAAAGAGAAGCACATCGGTATCATCCGGTTTCTGGGCACATCCCCTCTCAGCACGGACATCTACAACGTCCTGTTCAGCATCTGCGGGCAACTGGCCGACATCACCGAGAGCATCATGGAGCCACAGAGCTACAGGACGATGAAAGGTCTGGCCATGTACCTGCCGAGGTTCTTCAGAAGCATAGCCTCAACGGCACGTCAGCCTGTAATCATCTTCCTGGACTCTCTTGACCAGCTTGAGGACTCCCATGAGGCTTACACAGCCTGGTGGCTTCCCGTCAACCTCCCACCCAATATCAAGCTCATTATTTCAACACTGCCGGATTGTCATGACATCCTGACCAATTTAGTTGCAGCCATAGGTCAGAAAAAGAATTTTGTTGAGGTCCCTGTTCTGCCTGACGACACCAGCAGGGAAATAGTTGCCAAATATCTGACCTTAAAGAGACGAATGGTCAGTGATGAACAGATGGGATTTCTCCTGGACACTTTCAGGAAATCCCCCAATCCTTTGTACCTGAAGTTGCTGATGGACCAAGCAGTGTTCTGGAACTCCTGCACCCCCATGTCAGAGCTGGTCTTACCAAACTCCGTCCGGGTCGCCATCAACAATTTATTTGACAAGCTTGAAGTTAAATTTGGGTGCAAGTTTGTTCAAGGAGCGCTGGGTTTGATCACAATCGGCCAAAACGGTCTCAGTGAAATAGAACTGGAGGATGCCCTGTCGTGCATGGATGACGTCATGAATGAAATCTACCGATTTCACGATCCACCCGTGCCGGGCATGATTAGAGTCCCACCTGTCATGTGGGCAAGGCTCAGATTCGATATCAAGGAGTACCTGGTGGAACGACAATCACAAGGTCAGACAACATTGTACTGGTACCACAGACAGTTCATAGAGGCCGCTTCTGAGCGCTACACACCAGGAACAAGAGGGCAGCTCCTACATAACGTTCTGTTTGAGATGTTTGCATCGGAACAAGGGGTGCGTAAAGACATCGTGCTGACTGATAGAAACAACCTCCTCATACCAGATGCAGACAGGAACACCACACCACAGCCCACCACTTGGGGTAACACACGCAAGCTCGAGTGCCTCACCTATCATTTGAACAACTCTGAAAAAGTCCAAGACCGTGACTTTGCCAAAAAGACCACCTACTGCAATTTGCAGTTCCTCAGAGCCAAAGTGGCTGCCACGGGTGTGGAGAAGCTGCTGAGGGAGCTGGAGGTTTACCAGAAGCTGGTGGCGGACCCAGAGCTAGAAGTCATCATCAAGTTTATCATGACATGTACAACTTCTCTTAAAGATCCAGTGAGCTGTGCCTTCAATGTCCTCGCCTACATCCCACAGAGCTCTGCCCACGCGAATCTGGCACACCTCAGGACCATGGCCATGGAGTACCTGATGCATCTCCCTAAAACTCTGCTCATCCCTGCGTTTGCTTGTCTCGTGCCGAGGTCCGGTCAGCCAGAGAAGGTGTACGACGGGTTGTCTTTTGTATTTGGGTTCCGAAACGAACAGGTTCTTTTCGCCAACAGATGGCAGAGTGTCAGCACGGCTGACCTGCTTGAGTCCGTCCTTGACCATTCTGTGACTCTGGCCTGTGTGGACATGAAGACCACTGAACTGACCAAACACCTGTGTGAGGAGATAAGCTCTGAACCCTTCATCACGGCAGACGGCAAGGAGCTGTTGTATCTGGCGGCCACAGACTCTGCCCTGGTGAATCTTCACATTGAGACTGGTGACATCACTAAAAAGGCCTTAGGGGAGGTGTTTGCGGGGAAGGGACTTGAAGTCAACAGGTTGACCAACTTCATGGTGACGGGCTCAGAAGACATGAAACACCTGACGGTGTCAGTGGGGGACACAATAGCTGTGACAGAATATCCCAGCCTCAAACCAGTCTGCCAACTTCATCAGCCTCACACCGCCAGGGTCACCAATGTCCACTGCTGTAGCGGTTCCCCAGTTGTTGTCATTTTTACTGAGATTTCGGCCACCTCTGACGGCGACCAAGGCGTCATAGCATCTTGGGATACATCGAAAGATGTCACACATCGCACAAAAACATCTTTCAGAATCGAGGCCAAAGCTTCGCAGTTAACAGTGGGGGATGAGTACCACGTCTGCCATGGTCAAACTGCCGACGGTCAATACTTTATAGCAATAAACAAGTTAAAAACAGCTGAACGCTCTGACCCCCTTCAAGTGTCCAAGGAGATTAGGTCCATTCGAGTGTCTCGGTTGGATCAGCAGATTGTTTGCCAACTGGGAGACTCAGAGATCCACGTAATGAACCCGGAGGACAGGGAGTTGGTGAAAGCTCTGGATCATGTAGTCAAAATAGTTTCATTTGACTTGGCTTGGGATGAGGATAAGCTGTTGATAGCGGATGCCAACAACGAGGTCTCGTTGTACAACAAAAAATTTGAAAAACTGTTGTCCAGGGTGGGTGACCACGGGGATATCAGCTTTGTCAGCTTGTTCCAGGGCCACATGCTGATCTTGACCAATGAGGAGAAAGTAAAAATCTGGAACCAAAAGGAGTTTTTCTCAGCAGGCTCAAGAGAGATGGGTTACCCTGAGGCTGACCCAGGTCGGGCCATAGCCAGCAAGCAGGATGTGACGTGCTTTGTACTGTCGGAGAACAGCAAAGAACTTTTCACGCTGGGAAAGAGCAACATATGCCACTCCTGGTCACTGGAAAATTATTTTTTAATCCGGAAATACCCAGTTGATGTTGTCCCCACCAAAATGCTTATGGCTGCTGACGGTGACATCATTGCTTTCGACGGTGTAAGCAAAAAATTGATGGTTTTTAAAAGTGATGACGGAAACGTGGTTTACCGTCATCCTGGTCCTGTGGTGTGTTTTACTATGACGAAAGACAAAACCAAACTGATATTTCTAACCAGGGAATCGAAACTGACATTGCATACTTATGACTTGAAGACGAGCAGGACCTTGAAAAAATTCAACCTCAACATTGGATTCAAGATCCTCAGTGCCCAGATTCTCTTGTCTGTGTCTGAGAGGTACGCTGTCTTCATGTTTGAGATCACCCCGGATGATTACAAGGCCATAGCCAGCATGTGGAACAAAGGGATGAAGCTGCCTGAACAAAAACATCCTTACAGATTCACGGCCGTGGATATCAGCCAGTGTTCGGGGGCGCCGATGCATGTGTATCATCGGTTATCAAAGGTGCCCCAACTGGGGGTCACCGCGGAGCCCTACAAGGGCAACATGATAATGGTGTCAGCCAGGAGGTGGATCATGTTCTGGGACATCCCCACTGGAAACTGCGACCACATGATGTGCAAGTCACCTAGGCAAACGAAGATGTACCGTCCGGACTGGCTGGGCCAGGACTGTGTTGGGAGCAATGATGTCATCGTCATGTCTGGCAACAAGGAATATGTGGCCGTGGGTTCGCAGGATGGCTACGTGTTTGTGTACGCAGGAGATTCAGGAATGCCAGCCGGAATGAAAGCTCCATCATCCAGACACCCATCACCAGTAAGTTGAGACACCCATCCCCAGTAGGTTGAGACGCCCATCCCCAGTAGGTTGAGATGCCCATCCCCAGTAGGTTGAGACACCCATCCCCAGTAGGTTGAGACACCCATCCCCAGTAGGTTGAGATGCCCATCCCCAGTAGGTTGAGACACCCATCCCCAGTAGGTTGAGACACCCATCCCCAGTAGGTTGAGACGCCCATCCCCAGTAGGTTGAGATGCCCACCATCAATAAGTTTAGTTAGACGCCCTTCACCACTTAGTTGACCCTGACAAAGATGTGTCATGGATCAAATGGTTGGTTTCCCTTGTCCACCTATTTTTATACATTTTCATAATGGTAACAAAATAATGTTGAAGTTCTTGAAGAAACATTTTCTTTTTTTACAAGCATCATATGTTTCAGATGCACTCTGTACAATGATATGTTTAAGATGCACTCTGTACATTGATATGTTTCAGATGCACTCTGTACATTGATATGTTTCAGATGCACTTTGCACAATGATATGTTTCAGATGCACTTTGTACAATGATATTTTTCAGATGCACTCTTTACATTGATATGTTTCAGATGCACTTTGTACAATGATATTTTTCAGATGCACTCTGTACATTGATATGTTTCAGATGCACTTTATACAATGATATTTTTCAGATGCACTGTGTACAATGATATGTTCTAGGTGCACTTTGTACAATGATATATTTCAGGTGCACACTCTGTACAATGATATGATTCAGATGCACTCTGTACAACACTCTTTTTCTCTGTCCCTCAGGTCAGTCAAGTGTGCTTCAACCACACCAGCACCCTTGTGGCTTCGGCTTGTACCGGAGGTTACCTGAAGCTCTGGGAGCCAAGAGGGGGTAACTGCATCTTCTCCGTATCAGTAGGAATGGAGTTACGGCAGCTTCAGTTTACACAAAATGGCAAGAAGCTCGTTGCCTTGACGACTGCTGAGAAAAGTCACATTCTGGTGTTCGATGTTCAAGAAGTAGTTGTCTAGTTACAAATCTTGTGTGGCCGGGCAGTTGTACATCAATATAAGACCAGGTTTCATTTCACCGCCGCTAGTTTTCCTAATGAAATAATTTATGACATAACAAAGGATCATTTATCTCTGTGAATGATTACTTTTTGTAAAATACTTTGTGGTGAAATTGTTCACTCTTGAAACTTTTTAGTTTTTAAAAAAATATCTCCTTAGCATAATATCCTTTTGTTAAAAGCATAGTCTCCTTATGCTAAAACATAATCTCCTTTTGTTAAAAGCATAATCTACTTATGTTAAAAACATAATGTCTGAATGTGCATAATTCTCCTTATTTAAAGCATAATCTCCTATGTTAAAAGCATAATCTCTATATATTTGAAAGACAATCTCCTTTTATTTAAGACAACATTTTATAATTGAAGCATAACTTCTTGAATCGGATTATTTATTTATTTTGCTCAAAATTGCACTTATAATCCCAGCTAGGACTGTGCGAGGGGGGCAAAGGAGGCATCTGTCTAAGGTGACAACATCGGGAACGGAGGGGGTGGGGGGGGGGGGGGGTCAAAATTGTCAATGCACTTTAAAAGAAGAAAGGTTAAATTGTATAGAGAAATAGGATTAGGTTCTTGTGTGTGGGTATCATTTAACCAGGGCTCAACTTTTCAGTCGCACTGTCCTGATCCCAGCTAAAAATTGCAAGTGTTTCAATCCGCAATAAGAATCTTTGTTTTGAAATGCATGTCTTGTGTTTGACCTGTTAACTATTTGACCTTTTTTATTTTTTAAATGGACCCAGACCAAATATTGCAAGACCAATTATTGCAAGACCAATTATTGTAAGACCAATTATTGCAAGACCATTTATTGCAAGACCAATTATTGCAAGACCAATTATTGCAAGATCAAATATTACAAGACCAAATATTGAGAGATCAAAAATAATAAATGAAAGGAATTTCAGGGGCTGCTGGAAATTGTTTATTAAGTATTATATATTACCACGTGCATGTTTCAGATGAGTCTTAATTCAGTTTGTTAATTTGATTGTTAATGTGATCCAAAAACAGATCAGTATTATGCAAGGTTTTTGAGAAAATTTTTAATTCATCTTTTTTCTTTTTTTTTTTTTAATGCAATTATGATAAGTTTATTGAACTGTATTCCATATTATTTTTTTAAAAAGCAATTATAATACGTTTTTGGATTTTTTTCTCCATAATTAGAAAAAGATAAAAAGAGAAAAGAAAAAAAAAGCAATTATGATTAGTTTATTTGTGCTGTATTCCTTCATGTGTTAAAACGGTCCGGCCTTTTAACATATTACATTTATTGTGAATGTTATGGTGAATATTAGATCTAGATCTATTTAAATGTGCAGCTCTATGGACCACAAGCAATTTTTCTTCAAANTTTTTTAGAAAATTTTTAATTTTTTTTTTTTTTTTTTTTTTTTTTAATGCAATTATGATAAGTTTATTGAACTGTATTCCATATTATTTTTTTAAAAAGCAATTATAATACGTTTTTGGAGTTTTTTCTCCATAATTAGAAAAAGAGAAAAAGAGAAAAGAAAAAAAAAGCAATTATGATTAGTTTATTTGTGCTGTATTCCTTCATGTGTTAAAACGGTCCGGCCTTTTAACATATTACATTT